CCAAGATTTAATCTCCGTTCTTCCAACACACTGTTCCCTAGTCTGGGCGGCCCACCCTCGGGGGTTTGAATAGGAGGATAGGTGAAAGAGTGTTTTTATTTTTTCTAACATGATAAGGAAGTCTGTGCTAGTACCTGTAGGCTCCTTTTCTTCAATAAAATCTCTATTTGTTAGCGAAGTTAGAACACAGACCCATAGTAATTCCTATGTGTCCTCGAACCAGCAGCAGTAATAACAGTAGTAGTGGTAGTAATGGGGATATAAATCTGATGAAGAAATGGAAATAATCTGTTGATTAAATGGGGTAATGAAGGGGTGCTGGGTGGCTCAGCTGGTTAAGCATCTGACTTCAGCTCAGGTCATGATCTTGTGGTTCATGCATTTGAGCCCTGCGTCAGGTTCTGTGCTGACAGCTCGGAGCCTGGAGCTTGCTTCAGATTCTGCATCTCCCTCTTCTCTCTGCCCCTCCTCCACTTGCTATCTCTCTCTCTCTCTCTCTCTCTCTCTCTCTCTCTCTCTCAAAAATAAAGATTTAAAAAACTGAAATGGGGTAATGAAACATATTGCCACTCCCTGCTAAAATTCCAGTATAATGATAGAAAAAGAGAAATAATAATATAAACTCACAATAACAAAGAAAAAAGAGGAGGTGACAAGATAAAAGATTCCAGCAAATTTTTAGAAGGTAGCAAGCAGTTGGAAGAATAGGGAAAGCTTAAATCTAAGGATTTTCAGAGAAGGGTACCATAGACAAAGAAGACAGTTCACACTGCAAAACCCAGAAAAGTTTCAAGAATTGGAAAGTACCAGGTCATTTGAAAGTTGAGGTAAGGGGAGAGGTTGAAACCAGGAGGACTGATGGAAAGCCTGTCAGATAAACAAATGTCAGATCTTTCCTTCTGTGTCTACTGCCAGAGGACTCCCCATTTCAACCTTAACGAAAAGGGAAGGTTATTCTCTGGTCCTGGGCTCTAGATAGGCACCATAGGGACAGGCGGTGGGGATGGGGGAGGATATGGTGCCATACAGAAATCTGGGGAGTGAGAGTCAGCATATTGCACTGAGAGACCTCCAGTCCCTTCACTCCTACACCTCACAGAATGTAGCAACCAAGCTTTTACCCACTCCCTGGGGTTGGAGGTATGGAGATCTTCTCTAGAAAAAAAATCTCTCCAAGAACAAAAATCTGACAATGACATTGAGGGCACCACATCAAAAATGTTAGGTTCCTATCTCAGCCCCTCCAAGGTAGCTCTCCAAGGTGTCAAGCCCTGCCCATGAAATGTCTAACTGGCTGTGTAGTGACTTGCTACTAAATATTACCATACAACCAAAGACATTGGACATTCGAGAAAAGCTTTTAACATAAAAATCAAAGACCAAAATATACAAGAAAAACTGGGATAATATGGAAACAGAAAATGCAGGAATCAAAGGAAAATTTTAAAATATTTAATTAATATCCTCAAAAAGATAAGAGTATATCACACTAATGAACACAGAAGAGGATAATATTAAAGAGGGGAACATCAGGAAATCAGAAATTGAAAGTTTAAAAATGTTTGAAATGTTTTTAATATGTTTAAAAAATGTTTAAAAAACCAATAGTAGAGATGAAAGATAAAATTAAGGAAGTTTCCAGGGCGCCTGAGTGTCTCAGTCGATTAAGCAGCCCACTTCAGCTCAGGTCGTGATCTCACAGTCCCGCATCAGGCTCTGTGCTAACAGCTCAGAGCCTGGAGCCTGCTTCAGATTTCTGTGTCTCCCTCTCTCTCTGTCCCTCCCCTGCTCATGCTGTGTCTCTCTCTCTCTGTGTCTCAAAAATAAATAAACGTTTAAATTTTTTTTAAAAAGATTAAGGAAAAAAAAAAGATTAAGGAAGTTTCCAAAAATAATATAACCATGGAAAAAAAGAAGAAAAACTGTAAGTAAATTAGAAAACCAATCCCAAAAGTCGACATTTAACTATTATGAATTCCAGAAAGAAAATACAAAAAACTAGAGGGACAAAAATTATCAAAGAATTACATATTAAAATCTCTCAGAACAGTTGAATTTCCAAATTCAAAGAGACTAATGAGTGCCTAAAGTAAATTTAAAAGGATTCAAATTGGGGCGCCTGGGTGGCGCATTCGGTTAAGCGTCCAACTTCAGCCAGGTCATGATCTCGCAGTCCGTGAGTTCGAGCCCTGCGTCAGGCTCTGGGCTGATGGCTCAGAGCCTGGAGCCTGTTTCCGATTCTGTGTCTCCCTCTCTCTCTGCCCCTCCCCCGTTCATGCTCTGTCTCTCTCTGTCCCAAAAATAAATAAACGTTGAAAAGAAAAAATTTAAAAGGATTCAAATTAAGGCAGATATTGTAATATTTTATTGTTTTGGTTTTTTGTGTGTGTTTTTTTGGTAATATTTTAAAATACTAGAGATAAATATTAAAACTTGGGACAAAAACTTAAAAGCTTACAGAAAGAAAAAAAACAGTTCTCATTTTTAAAAAATGGGAAAAACCAACACTGGTGCTCTTACTAGCAACACCAGAAACTAAAGAAAATGGATCATGTTTTAAAATTCTGAGAAAAAAAAATTGATCTAGAAGCAGCTTGGTGGCTTAGTCAGTTAAGCATTGGCTCAGGTCATGGTCTCATGGTTTATGAGTTGAAGTTGCTCATGAAGCTCTCTGTTCTCAGCAGCAGAGACTGCTTTGGAAACTCTGTTCCCCCCTCTCTCTCTCTCTGCCTCTACCCTGCTCTCACTCTCTGTCTCTCTCTCTCAAAAATAAATAAACGTTAAAATAATTTTTCTAATCTAAAATTCTGTATCCGGTCAAACTGTCTATCAAGTGAAGGATGAAATACTCATGTTTTCTTGCTATGCAGAGTCTCAAAACTTTTGTCTCCTATATACTGTTTCTCAGGAAGCTTCTGGAGTATGTGCTCCATAAAAATGAGGGAGAACACCAAGATAGAAAAATATATGGGATCCAGGAAGCAAGAACTCAAACACAAGAAAAGAGCAAAGGGGATCCCCAGGGTGGTGGTAACTAGAGATCCCAGGAGGAAAGCAGGGTAGCTGCTTGGGGAGGGGGAGGAGGGGGGCTTCTGTCAAATGGAGCAAGAGAGCCAACACCTGGGAGGGACATGTCCGTGAGGAAAATGGGGCTTGGGGATCCCCTATGGGTTTGTTGTTGTTGTTCTGTTGTGGTAGTCATTGTTGTTAGCATATTAAAATGAACTTTTAAATTTTGTTGGACAATTTGGGAAGAATAAATGTACCTGGAAAAGTACATTAAAAGAGGAGGCAATTTCTAGGGCTAGACAAAACACAATATTGTTCAAGAAATAAATGTAAGTATGATTCAACACAGGAAATTACTAGTTGACTCAGCTATGAAGAGTATGCACATTGTCATAAATGTTAAATAGTGATTTAAATAGCAATTGTGATGTAATTATTTTAGGAAGGGAGCATGTGTGTGTGTGTGTGTGTGTGTGTGTGTGTGTGTGTGTGAAGTGATAGCTGTTACAGTATTAAATCACAGAATGTTTGACATTAATGTATTTTTAAATATATATTTATTTTAAATATCCATTTAAGTATTTGTTTAGAAATATACACATATTTCTATTTCAGTAGGAGAACTCACTTTCTTTATAAACCTCAAAATATTTTTTAAAGCTCTATAGATTTATACATTTATGTATAAAACTATGATTGCAAAAAATAACTTAAAAGAGACATCTACTATTTCTAGGCATCCAGAGAATCTCTTTTAAAGACTAAAAACTCTGTTCCTAATACCAGTGGGAGTTGGACTACTAGGCTTAGAGATACTCTGCAGAGAAATGTATACAGCTCACTCCTTTTAAGAAAATTCCCCTGGAGGCCAATTTACTTAGCCTCTTTGAGCCTTGCTTGCCTCATCTCTAAACTGAAAAAGTTCATTTGGAACAAACGAAACTCAAATTCGAGGCAAATAACAAGTGAAACAGACCAGGTACAAATGCCAGCATCCCTTACAAAGGACAGTCTCTACTCAGAACCAGCCGGCTTTGCCATGAAGACCTTTTGTTGCTAAAAGGCCACTGGTTCAAGAGAAACTGCAAATCTGAGTTTTTGCATGAAACCTCTGAATTTTAAAATGCTAGTTTAAAATACACAATGCTTTGGGACACTTCAGTGGCTCAGTCAGTTAAGTGTCCACCTGTTGGTTTTGGCTCAGGTCATGATCTAACGGTTCGTGAGTTTGAGCCCCATGTCGGGCTCTGTGCTGACAGCATGGAGCCTGCTTGGAATTCTCTGTCTTCATCTCTCTCTGCCGCTCCCCTCCTGCTCGCTCACTCGCTCGCTCGCTCTCTCAAAATAAATAAACTTAAAATAATAATTAAAATTAAATTAAATTAAATTAAAATAAAATAAAATAAAATAAAATAAAATAAAATAAAATACACAGTGCCTGCCAAACCAAACCCATCTGCAGGCTACCACCATCCCACAGATTGCAATGTGAGACTTATAAATTAGCTGAACATTGATGACCACTTTAGGCAGTACAATGTCTCATTCCTAAAACTCTGCATTGAATGTATGGGTTTCTCCACCACCAAAGAGGCAGGCTATTTTATCCTAACCTGACAAACTATATTACTTCACTTTGTCAATTTTATCTTTACTGTGAACACTCACAAATCTTAAGACTTAAATCTGCATAGCATCTTTATTCATGGAAACACAGTCAAAAACAGAGATAGGTGCTGCCCAAACACAGCTGGGCCAAAAAATCAAGGAGTCATTCTCACAGACACAACTGGATAAAAACTGTCATTAAATCTGTCTTTCCAGACATGTTAGTTCACATGTCTGTAAAGGCATTACTGTAAAGACAGTAATCACGTTTAAATACAAAGGTCAGTATCAAGCTCATTATTTGCTAAGAAGATTATCTTTTAATTTTTCACAAGGAAACTTTTACCCACCACTGCTAATTATCTTCTTCATTCGCAGGCCTAGAAAGCATGAAGACTGTAGTTTTTCTCCTATACATTTTGGGAACTGCAACTGCAATACCGGTAAATACCCTTTTTTCTGTTATTACATCTCTCCTTCCTACATTTAATTTAGAAATCCCCCATTTAAAAGAAAATGTGTTTATATAGTGGTTTGAAATTCTCTTTTTTGTTTTAATATTATTTTTTCCCAAGCAGAGAATGAATGACTCAAAATATTGATATAAAATACTTTCTGAAAGAATATTTCCTTCAGAACTACCAGATTCTACAAGATACAATAAATATAAATGTGAAAATGTTGATTATAATTTATTAGAAGGGGGATCTTCCAGGACCCAAATGCCAAAGAGAATGGGAAGAAATAAATTTTCCTTTGGAAGTTTATCACTTAGTATGAGAAACCTAAGAAATTAGTATGAGAAGTCTTGGGAATGCACACCCATACTCTTTAGCAGCATTTTCTTCAAGATCAAATATATACTGGCTGATCAATTCTGAGTCTGTAATAAAACAAGAACCAGTGGGTTAGGGCCAGGAAATGGTATGATAATCATAAATTGGCTCCTAACTCGTCCTTGGGGGTGGTTGGGGAGGGGGTACTTTCCAAGCAAACATGCTGATAATAGACAGAACTAGAACATTCTTTTCTTCACGATCAGATATCCTGGCACCACCATTCACACAGCAGTAAATCAGACACACACAAATCAGAATCATTTGAGACCATGTCAGCAGCCTTAAAATAACCTGAAAGTTATTATTGTTGTTGTTTTAATGTTGTTTTTAATGGCTTGGATGATCATGTAGATGTCTCCCAAATGATCCATATCGTCCATAATCAAGCTAAAGGATTTATGCCATTTTTTTTTTCTTTTTTGCCAAATGGAGGAATCAATCTCCTTTAAGTAGACAAACTAATTTTTCTCATCCCTTCTCTTCCTCCGTCTCTACTATGTCTAAGATTCTGTCCTTGTTTTTTGGATAGCTGGTGGCTAACATTTGGTTGACAGATGTGTCCGCAAAGACCAGCATCATGCCACCCAGAGCAAGCATTTCTTAGAAAACAGAATTTATGGCCACTCCTAGGAATTGTGCTTTAGTAGCTGGAGCTACTCCAGCTGAAATTATACATGTCCTCTGCAATTACAAAAGTGGGATAAATTATGTTCAGCACTGAAAGAAGCTCCCACAGACCCATTGTTTTCTCCTAAAAATGTGTTTTCCCTTGCAGCTGTTGCCCAGTATATAAACAGGCACCAAAAATGCTTTTGAACCAAATGTTTGAATAACACATCTACATATAGACACATTTTAAAGGTTTTCTTTTGGGGACAATTTGTTATGTAGATCCAGTCAAACACTAAAAAGCTAAATATCTTCCCATAGGGTTTACCTCTTACAAATCTTGTGTCATTTTCCCAGATTGACTGAATTGTACGGAAGTAAGTGGATTCTGTGTGGTTCAGGGATTCCACACATTTCCAGAGGGTATGGTGTTATAGATGTGGGAATAATAATAAAACAGAGTTTGATTGCAGAAAATTTCTGAAAGAAGATAAGCTGCTGTCCTTCTGCATTTCTTTCAGCTTGGAGAGGGAGAGCAGAGGAGGAAGGGTGCAGAGGGGGAGCAGTTCTCTACTAATAAGCCGAACATCTCCTCCATCCCTTGCCTTCCATAATGCCCTTGCTGGAAACCTGCCAAACTGGCCACCATTCTTTATCCTCTCTCCCTTACAAATGGCTTCTTTGGAAATTTTTTCAAATGTTATTACTCCTTTTAGTTGAAAAGGTGATAAGCAAGAGAGCAAACCACATCTAAAATGAACCCTGAACTCCATGCCTTTCCTTATATTATACAATTGGTACAACAGAATGTGCTAATAGAGTAAAGACAAGTCGATGCAAATAAAATCTGGTTTTGTACTTATACCTCGATCTGCCAGACATGAGTATCCTTAGCATCTCTGTAAGAAAGATTTGTAGGGAATACCTGCTTACAGTATTGGACAGTTCATAGTATTACCACTGTAGGATATTACTTCTAGCAATAGTCAGTTTTCACTTGGTTACTTTATAATTTACAAACGACTAATATACATAAACTTATCTTGATATTTCTGCTCACTTCACCTTGACAGATGATAGGGTGGGATTCACAATTCGTCAAATGACAGATAGATAGCTGATAGAGTCAAGACTTGAAGGAAGATCTTTAATCTCTAGGTCAGTTGTTAAACTTCTCCATCATGTATCACTGCCAGTTCTTCATCTATGCCTTCAGTCTAGCTAGAAATAGAGCCATCCTTCTAGTTGAAATAATACTCCATTGCTGTTCTTCCTAACTAGACTTAGTGTACTATTTCACACAGTTTTTGAATTAGTTCTATGTTAAATTATTTATCATAAGATTTCTTGATGAATATAAGGCTGCTAGTGTTAAGAAAATAAATAATTGAATAAGGTTTAAATCTTTTCTGCTATTTATCAGTGAATACTTAAAATTTAACTTAAGAAAATGTACAATGTTAAAGAACTTCTCAAACTCAACACCCAAAAAACAAATAATCCGGTTAAGAAATGGGCAGAAAACATGAATAGACATCTGTCCAAAGAAGACATCCAGATGACTAACAGACATATGAAAATATGCTCAATATCACTCATCACAGGGAAATACAAATCAAAACTATGATGAGATACCATCTCACATCTGTCAGAATGGCTAAAATTAACAGCACAAGAAACAACAGGTATTGGCAAGGATGTGGAGAAAGGGGAACCCTCTTGCACTGTTGGTAGGAATGCAAACTGATGCAACCACTATGGAAAATAATATGGAAGTTCCTCAAAAATTTAAAAATAGAACTACCCTATGATCCAGTAACTGCACTACTAGGTATTTACCCAAAAGATACAAAAAGACTGATTCGAAGGGACACATGCACCCCAATGTTTATAGCAACATTATCAACAATAGCCAAACTATGGAAAGAGCTCAAATGTCCATAGACTGATAAATGGATAAAGAAGATGTGGTTTATATATACAATGGAATATTACTCGGCCATCAAAAAAAAATAAAATCTTGGCATTTGCAACAACATGCATGGAGCTACGGTGTATTATGCTAAGCGAAATAAATCAGTCAGAGAAAGACAAATACCATATGATTTCACTCATGTGGAATTTAAGAAACAAAACAGATGAACGTATGGGAAGGGAAAAAAAAGAAAGAAAAACCATAAGAGACTCCTAACTATAGAGAAAAAACTGAGAATTGCTAGAGGCAGGTGGGTGTGGGATGGGCTAGATGGGTGATGGATATTAAGGAGGGCACTTATGATGAGCAATGGGTGTTGTACATAAGTGATGAATCACCAAATTCTCCTGAAATGAATGTTGCACTGTATGTTAACTAACTAGAATTTAAATAAAAATTTAAAAAGAAAATGTACAGAGTTATATCTTCGGTAAATTTAATTTGACTTTGACTTTCTGCTAACAACAGTTCTTAAAATTATAGAGTATGAATGTTTTTTAAGTTTGAAAAGCACAGAAAATAATTCCAAACCTCAAAGGTGACAATTATTGAAATAATCTTTGCTCTATTTTCACCCAGTCTCTGCATACATAACTTTTTCTTAAATATGTTTGGGAGTCTGTTTTCACCTAAGATTATAATATAGCCATTTGCTTGTATTCTTAAAAATTCTAGAGAGTATTTTTTAATTGATGTTATGTATGAACCATAGTGCTACTAAGAATGATGACGATAAAGGAGTAGCTAGAAATTTTAGACATCAGCATCTAGACGTGAATAACATGAGCCAATTTCTACTTTTTTTCAGACAAATGCAAGGTTCCTGTCTAATCATCCAAAACCAACTGCTGATTCCTTGAGTTCCATCCAACAGGCTGAAGTGTTAGTAACACCTAACGACACTGCAATCCCCATGTTAAGGGTTGAAGATGCAGAAAATGAAAAGGAAATTGCAGTGCCTGTAGAAGACCATCCCGACCATAAGGTAAAAGTAACATGGTTATGCGATTATAATTTAAAATTTTTCCAAAGGTCTCAATTTCAAAGCATAGTTAAGGATATTACCTCATTCTCACCTCAGCTTAATTTTTAAAAGATGATTATCGTATCAGTGATCTCCAATTATCAAAAGAACTGTGAAAATTAGTGAGTTTTATGCCTTTGGCCAAGGTGCTATATAATTTCATGCCACAAAATTCAAATTCAGGTTATAAACTTGCAACTATAAAGTGTCAGGAACATTGTATATGAGTTTACCTGATATTATGTGAAAAAAATAATGAACACTAAAGGTTAGCTTATGAATTAAAATATGATGTAGATATTCCATTACCAATTGTTTCAAGAGTAAACTTTTTTTTCTTGTAAGGCTGAAAAATCTTCAGTACTAAAGCCAAAGGAGGAAAGCCAGGACCAGTCAGCAGATCAGGACCAGAGTTATAGCCAAGAGCTCGGGTTACAGGATGAAGAGGAGAGTGAAAGTGACTTAAGTGAGAATGTGGAGTACATACCATCTGAAGGTACATTGGACCTAAAAGAAGATACGAATGAGCCTCAAAAGAAAAAACGCCCAGAGAACATTGATTTCCTTGCTCCTAATATTAGTTCCATTGTAGATATTAACCAACAAGAAAGCATCACAAAAACAGAAAAAAAACAAGAACAACCAATGAATGAATTACATTCTCAGTTGAACAGGAGCAACAAACATAGCCAAGATGTAAATGATCAAGGAAACCAAGAGCAGGATCCAAATATCCCCAATGGAGAAGAGGAAGGGGAAGAAGAGCCAGGTGAAGTCAGTACCCACAACAATAACAAAGAAAGGGAGAGAGAATTTCCCAAGGAGCATTCTAATAGCAAGGAGGATGAAAATAGTACCAAATCTGATGATGTTTTGGAAAAGTCCAGTGAACCAACTGAAGTAAGCAAAATGCAGAAAGCTGAATTTGAGCAGGGTAACCAAGAACAAGAAGAAGACAGTTCCAATGCAGAAATGGAAGAGGAAAGTGCATCAAAAATTACTAAGCACAGCCAAGATGCTGAATGGCAGAGCCAAGAAGAAAAACCTGAAGTTACCAGCAACCATGAGGAGATGGATAAAAAGACTGTTTCTGAGGCTTTGCTCGTGGAGCCTACTGGTGATGGTAACACCATGCCCAGAAATCATGGGGCTAATGATGATGGTGGTGATGATCCCAGACACGATGCAACTGATGACTACGAATTCATCCCAAGTGAGGCCTTCATGGAGGCTGAAAGATCTCAGTCCATTTTCTATCACCTCAAATATGAAGAGGAAAGAGAAAGAGAAAAAGAAAGAGCACGTGAAAATGGGAATGTAGATGCCAGTGAACCTGGAGAATACCAAGGGGTGAGATTCTTTACATTGATGCTTGTCTGATAGAGCACTTAGCTTTATAAAGAAATAGCCATGACCTTTCTCTGTGCTCTCAGTCTCCCGTGCCTATCTCTACCAGTACATTACTAAAATGTATTAAAATTATTTATTTTCCTGTGCTCTCCATCACCAGGCTGAAAATGCCTATTTTATTTGGGTTCCCCTAGAAGCAGAGCCTGGATTTAAGTAGTTTATTTGAGAAGTTCAGGGAACAAAGAGGAATGGGACATGATATCAGGAAGGAAAGGAAGCTAATCAAAGGTATATCATTAAAGCCATGTAAAGCACATTCCTCTGAATTACCCCATTTGGAGAATGAGGGAGCTGGGGCATTTGTACAGACTGAGAATTGCTAAGAGAGGTGTTAATTCCCCAGCACTTTCAGTCTGTCCTTTGAGCAGGCCAAATAGATGTCATGGTTTTCCAGGCACAGAGATGCAGATACAGGCAGTTGAAAGTGCCTGGAGCTAACCAAAATGGTAAATTCTGACAGATATGAGGGATGGGAAACACTAACAACTACTGCTCTAATGTCTTAAGAGTAGATGCCATGTAATATTCAGGTTAGATCACCAAGGTCTAGCAAAATGTCTCTAATAAGAAATCCAGGAATGTTTGTTGATTTAGCTATAGAGATGAAGAATAAAGACTTCAGCTTCAATTTTAAGTAAATACACACCAAAATGATAATCAGGAAACTGCAACAGAGTGGGAGTAGGGAAGAAGCATATCGTCATTGGTTGTTTAATCATTTGGAGCTTTCAGGCAAAACGCCAGCAGCCACTCACTAGGAGGACTTGACACAGCTTTTGGTGGCCAAGGTCAATAGTGACCTTGATTACTGAGAACTCTCCTGCCATTTTAAGGTAGGAGTTTTATTACACTTTAGAAACCTGGTAAGAAACCTTTATTAACAGCTCCATAGAGGTTACTGATGTAATTGTGTCTTAACTATAGAATCACATGATAATACTACATTTCTACCATTCCAAAATCCAAAGGGGAGGTCCCAGCTTTGCTCCTGATGTTAGTTCCAACTTTTATTGAATAATCCCCAGAGATACAGCACTGAATCCAGTTGAGGAAGAAACAAATGGCTCCTATTCTCAAAGGGTTACTGTCTATTTCCACAGTTATGGCTGGTATCATTTTGAGATCTGAAATGATTTGGGTATGAAAAGCTTTGTGAAGGTACACACAGTGGAAATATAAATTATGTAATGGCTTTCCTGTAAATAAACTTCAGCTTCTGCTCTTGTTGTTATAAAGGCCAAGAAAACAGAGAGCCTACCAAATGAAGGTGAAAGTTCATATGAAGACAACAGAATGGTACATGGTACTGGTGAGTCCAGGCTAAGCTGCTCATGACTGTATCAAGGAAGAAATGGAATGGCCGCATTAGGCTATCCCCATTCCATCATTTATTTGTCACTGCTTCTCAGAATTTTTCCTCTCTTACATCCTCCCCACAGAAATGTTCTCATAAACTATTGACATTCTCTAGCATACATTTTATACACAACTATGGGCAAATGTGTTTACAAACTGGAAGGCTTGTAATAGTATGAAAGCTAGAATTCTTCTTTCCTAAATCCTATGCTTCTGAGAAGAATTCATTCTACTTTATTTTTTCTCTTTGACGTCATATTTATTTTTGAGAGAGAAAGCATGAGATGGGGGTGTGGTGGGCAGGGAGAGAGAGGGACAGAGGATCTAAAGTGGGCTCTGTGCTGACAGCAGCAAGCCCATTGTAGGGCTTGAACTCACAAACTGCGAGATCATGACCTGAGTCAAAGTCGGACACCCAATCGACTGAGCCACCCAGGTGCTCCTACTTTATTTTTTCTCAAATCCATAAATTACTAGTGAATTTAGATCCTGTATTTAATTGAGACCTAATTCCCAATGGCATACCCCAATCACAAAGATTTTAAATTTCAACACAAAATTTTCATGACTTATTAACTTCTGACCAACCTGCACAAACTTAAATTATAGACTTCAGACTATGACCATTGTAGGCAGGCCAAGAAGAGCTGTTTGTTCTTTTTATATTCCCAATTCAAACTGCCCAGAAAATCTAGACTATTGTGTAACACAGTTTGATGTCAGAGGGTCCCATCTGAACATTAAGATGTCCATTAGAATGGTTTCTAATATTTTCCCAAATTTTCTTTAATTAGTGAAAATGGAGCTCATGTCTAGATAAATTTGAGGTTACATACTCAGTTTAGCTTTGCTCATGCTTTCTGTTCAATCTTTCCTGTCAGATTCTTGCATGAACTTCCAGTGTAAAAGAGGACACATCTGTAAAGCTGACCAGCAGGGAAAACCCCACTGTGTTTGCCAAGATTCAGTGACTTGTCCTCCTTCAAAACTCCTTGACCAAGTAAGTATTCTACAAAATAGTCTCTAAGGGGCCCCAAGTAGTTAGTGATTTGGATGAAAGTGGCTTGCAATTGAAATGTTTGTCAAAAAAAAATGTCCAAGTTATCATCTAATACTTGAAATAATACTGAATAGGAACAAATGCCAGCAAAAATAAGGAATTTCAGCTGTACCTTGAAAAGGTAATAATGGCATTGATATCTTCAGAACTCATTTTATTTTTTTTTAAATTTTTTTTTCAACATTTATTTATTTTTGGGACAGAGAGAGACAGAGCATGAATGGGGGAGGGGCAGAGAGAGAGGGAGACACAGAATCGGAAACAGGCTCCAGGCTCTGAGCCATCAGCCCAGAGCCTGACGCGGGGCTGGAACTCACGGACCGCGAGATCGTGACCTGGCTGAAGTCGGACGCTTAACCAACTGCGCCACCCAGGCGCCCCCAGAACTCATTTTAAAACTCACTGTATCCTTGAAAAGTCTGCAGTTTGCATTCTACTGAACTTATCTAGAGCTAGATTGTCATCACCATTGGTATAATTTAGTTGATTTTTTTAAGCAAATAGGCAGTTATGATTTTAATAACTTCACTTACCTGGCTCAGCACAACTGATCAGTCTGCCTATGAGCTTTAAGAAGCAGAGTATTTTCCTAGTGTACATTCAGAAACATGAGCTCAAGGGGCACCTGGGTGGCTCAGTCAGTTAAGCATCCTACTTTGGCTCAGGTCATGATCTCAAGGCTCGTGGGTTCGAGCCCCGTGTCAGGCTCTATGCTGACAGCTCAGAGCCTGGAGCCTGCTTCAAATTCTGTGTCTCCCTCTCTCTCTGCCCCTCCCCTGCTCATGCTCTGTCTCTCTCTCTCTCAAAAATAAACATTAAAATTTTTTTCAAAAAAAAGTTTTAAAGAAACATGAGCTTTTTCTCATGCTTGTCTTTCCTAGGTTTGTGGCACTGACAATCAGACCTATGCCAGCTCCTGTCATCTGTTTGCTACTAAATGTAAACTGGAGGGAACCAAAAAAGGGCACCAGCTACAACTGGATTATTTTGGAGCCTGCAAATGTAAGATTCTGCCACTCTTGCCAACCACCATTGCTGAGAGGATTTGGGGTGAATCTATGCATATCTGAATAATCTATATACAGACTCCCACATGCAAATGGAAAAAGGCTAATGTAGTTCTGAACCTAGGATGCTCATTAAAATCTTCTAGAGAGACTTAAAAAAAATAAAAAGAATAATTCCCCAGCCTTAACTAAAAGAGACTGATTTAATTGGACGGGGTTGGGGCTTTAACATTGCTTTTTCATTTGTTTTTAAAGTAACCTAGACAATTCTAAGGTGCAGCCAGCGTTCAGAATTACTATGATAATGTTACCACTTAATAATTGAAATGAATCATTGGAATTTTGCTAAATTACTTGTCCTTTTTCCAATGTACGTTAAGTCTCCGCCAAGAAGTTTTATGACAATATATTCTTCTAGAAGTTTTTTTTTAATGCTCTTCTTCCCCCCAAATACTCTCAATTGTGTTTGGATCTCCTTATCACTAAGTGATTCTCCACATTAGCAGCGCTTACTAATATTTCCAGTTCTCCTGTCTTTCCTGACACACAAGAGTATTAAATTTCTCAGCCCTCTTGATCTTAGATGTGACCATATGAGTTGATTTGTCCAGTGAAATTTCAGCAAAAATCATCCATGTGAGTTCTGGGCAGCTGCATTTAAGAGCTAGCATATGTGTGGTCCTGTATGCAGAGCCCTCCTGTCAACTTGTATTGGCCTTGAATGTACAACACAGTGACTGTAATTAACACTGCTGTAGAGTATATCTGAAAGTCGCTAAAAGAGTAGATCCTAAAAGTTCTCATCACAAGGAAAAAAAATTTTGTAGCTAGTGAGGTGATAGTGAGGTGGTCATCGCACAACATATGGATGTCAAGTTATTATGCTGTACATCTTAAACAGTGTTGTATGTATATTATATTTCAGTAAAACTAAAAAAATTTAAAAGTTTTTGTTCTTTTAAATCACTGAGATTTAACATTGTTACCACAGGTTAATCTAATTTCCACTTTTTTGTCTTTTCTCCTGATAAATAGTTCTTGCAGCCTCTACCCTCCACCTATAAATCTGCATATCAAATAATAACCTGCATATCAAAATAAACCTGCATATCAAATAAATAAACCTGCATATCAAATAAACCAAAATCAAAATAAACCTGCATATCAAATAAACCTGCATATCAAAATTATTTTTTGGGGGGCGCCTGGGTGGCTTGGTCGGTTAAGCGTCCGACCTTGGCTCAGGTCATGATCTCACGGTCCGTGAGTTCGAGCCCCGCGTTGGGCTCTGTGCTGACTGCTCAGAGCCTGGAGCCTGTTTCAGATTCTGTGTCTCCCTCTCTCTCTGCCCCTCCCCTGTTCATGCTCTGTCTCTCTCTCTCAAAAATAAATAAACGTTTAAAAAAAAATTTTTTTAAGAAAAAATAATAATAATAAAAAATTATTTTTGGAACTTTTAAATCATCCTGATGCCCACATTCTACCCCAGACCAATCAAATCAGAATGTCTTTGAATGGAAGCTGGAATCTGGTATGTTTTGAAAACACCACAGGCAGTTCTGTTTTGCCGCCAGGTGTAAGGACCCACTGCTGTGACAGTGGGACAGTGAGCGTACTGTCAGTCACCAGATGTTATTAAGCTTTCTGTTATGAGGACGTGCCATAAGATAGGAGTAAGATCCAAAGATTAAAATCTATTTTCTTTCTGCTTGGAACAGCTATTCCTATTTGTACAGACTTTGAAGTGACTCAGTTTCCCCTAAGGATGAGAGACTGGCTCAAGAATATTCTCATGCAGCTTTATGAGCCAAACCCTGAACACGGTGGATATCTAAATGAGAAGCAGAGAAATAAAGTAAGTTATCCACAGGTCAACTACCCAAGTGTCTATGTACAGAGCCTAAGGAAAAAGGGTATGTGTGTTGAGGGGAGGAGGGGGCCTACCTCCCCCTGCATATCAGCAAGAGCCCACTTGGTTCGCCACACCTGCTAAGTTCACATGCAGTAACAGAACAGTAGTGGTCACCATTCATGCCACAAGGTTTGAGACATGGCCAAACCACCCCATTCCTGTCCAAAGGGCAGTGGCCTGAGCAAGGACTCTTCACCTCATACCCCAGAGCAAATCCTGGTTGAGCAAAGGGAACCTCCATTCAGCACTTATATATTCAGGCCCAAACATATTATTTAAATCTAATAATAAATTTAAATAAATTTTAAAGATTTTTAATACATCTTTTTGCCCTCATAGACCAGACAGATTTGTGATATAAGAGAAATCCCTTATTTGCAATGTCAGTAATATATTAAGATTTAAAAGTGCAGAATATTCATTCCAGAAGTTCTCAGGGAAAATGCACTCATCAAATAGCTATTGAGTACATCCTGTGTATCTGGAATTGATTTACATGATGGGGATACAGCAATGAAGCAAAGAAAAATCTCTGCCTTCATGAGCTAACATCCTTGGAAAAGAGACTCTGAACAAATGTGTGTGTGTGTGTGTGTGTGTGTGCACGCACATGTGTGTTTATAGACATATTGCAAATATGAGCATACATGCAAATATATAAACATGTAAATAAATATGCAAATATATAAGGTATGTCAGGTGGAATGAAACATGCTATGAAGAAAAAATTAAACAAGAAGGAAGGTGTGCATTAACTGTGTCAAATGCTGCTTACAGGTTGTAAAATGAGGAATGAGTTGAGCACTGATTTGGCATGTGGTGGTCACAGAGTTAACCTTGACAGAAGCTGTTTCTGCAGATTGGAGAGAAGAAAAGCTTGAGTGACAGGGTTCAAAAGAGAATAGGAGGAAGGATGTGGAAGCACCAAGTATAGACAATATATTCAAGGCATTTTGCTAGAAAGAGGAAAAGTGAAATGGGTGGCAGCCAGACAGGAATGTGAGTTCAAGAATCCCATCTACCAGTGGGAGATAGTAGAGGATGTTTGTGTGCTTCTGGTAGGACCCCAGTAAAGATGGTAAAAACTAATAAGGAATAGAAGAGGTACCCAACTGCCATAGGGTGGTTTTGAGGAGATGGAAAGGGGTAGGCTTCTGAGCACCAGTGAAGGGTTGGGCTTATATTCAGAGCACAGGAAGTTCATCCATGATAACAAGGAGAGAAGTTGGTGGATGTGACCATGGAGATGGGTAGTTCTGTTCTAAATGCTTCCAGTTAGCTCATGAGTAACATCATAAGCTGAGAGTTTTATATGCATTGCCCAGAAATAATTTCTATCCTCTCTTTTTAATACATCATAGTGAAAGTCTTGAGAGCGTTAGATGCAAAACAGGGAAATTTTAATGGGGCTGACCAAATGGTGTCACACCACAGCTGATTCTGATCAGACACTGGACAGAAATACTTAGAGAATTAAGAGTATGCCAATGTGGTGATTGGGACTTTTCACTAACCAACAATTTTGCCTAGGTCATTTCAGGCCTTTTCATTAAAACCTTCTCATAATTTTAAGGAATGTGATGAACAGTACTCGGTTAA